CACCCAGCACCCCCCCCCAATCCCGACATCCACAACTCAGCCCCCCACCACCCCACCTCTGCCTGCCTGCGTTCATCGCTCTCGCTCTCTCTAAACCGCAGCCAAAGGCAGAAAGAAGCCTGATTTTTATTTATTTTTTTTCTTCAGTGGAGCTTCTGCTCGTGGGTTAACGCTCAAAACCGTGACATCACTCAAAGATTTCTTGGATTCCTTGAGTTTTGACTCCCTAAAAAAAAAAAAAAGATGTGGATGTTGGTAAGGGCAAGGGGTTAGCAGACCCTGAAGTTCCCTTGTGGGAATGATGAGCCCATCACGGCCCACGGAGAGCTCGTTGTTGTGTAACAGGAAGCAGGAGAAGAAAATGTCCAGTGGAAAAGACGCCAAGCTCAGCGATTTTTTTTTTCCTCGTGCTCAGCTAGAAACACAAGCTCACCTCCTACTCTTCATCGTCCTCCTCCTCTTATTCCTCCACTTCCTTGTCATGATCTGATTGCTAATCTTTACGTTTGCGTCCTCATCAGGCCCGCTCCTCGTGTCAACCAATCAGCTTTCTGCAGCCATTCATATTTCGTCAATCTTTTGTTTTTTTAGTTTTCCGATACTGCTCATTCTGTTTTGTCAAATGTCGTGGTGAGTTTTTCATTTTTTTTTTTTTTTTGGTGGCTTTGGGGTCCTTTGGTAGCATTAGATATTTTTTGTCCAATCAGATTTCTTCTTTCATAATCAGAACTGCTGGTCCGCATAATTAAAATTTTTGAGCAAAAGGATTTTTCTTGAACGGATCACATTTGAATTTAAACCTGACAGGGTGAGCACACTTGGTGACGTCAGCATTTTTTGGTCCTCTGATTGGTTGGTCAGAGCAAAATTAGTTCCAGTCAATTTTGGCCTGGCACTTGTATTGATTGGATCTTAGGGAAATTATTATAAATTGAATAAATACAGGATGTCATGGCCAGTAAAATACAATGTCCTGCCTAACAACAACAATTTCAAAGACTAATTTAAGCCCCTGCCGCTGGAACGGAGAAGTGGCTCGTTCACGCTCTCGTGACTGCAGTGTGGTTGTTGAGGAAGATCGTGCGGAATAACGATCAACAAGTTGAGAAGGTAGACCCGTAAAAAAAATAATAAAAAAATGACTCTTGTCTGCTTAGCTTTGTGCTTGAGAGCAGGATGTCGCCTGAAGACAGTGAACACATCTCAAGGTCTTTTTCCTCTTTTTTTTGACTGGACCATCTTTGTCAAGATTTTGGAATAAAACGCCACCCCCACCCCTCCCTAAAACAAACAAAAAAAAAAAGATCAAGACACAACAACAAACCATGCGCAGTCTCATCCTCCTCTGTCTGTGTTTCATTTGTTTTGTGTCTGTTGCCATGACGACACAAATCATCCTCGATTGCTGACTTACCAGGCACACTTGGGTCAGGAAGGACCACTTGGGACTTTGCTCCTCTTTTTTTTTTCCCTTCTGCCCTCCCCCTCCCCTCGTTCTCAACATTTCCACAAATTCTCTTTTTTCTTCTCCCGCCTTCTTCCACGCACGCGTCATCCTGCATTTTTCATCTCTTCCTCAATTATTCCTCTTCCTTCACATGCTGTTTACCGTTCCCAAGTTCACTTTACACCCCGTAGGTCTAAATCGGCAACCTGCTTCCATTCTTAGCTTCCCGTGAACTTTCTGCTCCGTTGACATCAGCTGGAAAATGAACGGACACCCTACAAGAGTGAAATAATCTTCCGTCGTTTTTTTTTCCCCAAAGATTTAGAAAAAGTCTCCAAAAGCTCTCTGGGGGAAAAAAAAAAATGAAACATTTGAAAATTTACTATGACTTCCTGGCGACCTGGCTCGTCTCCGGGAGACATTGTGGAGCCTCGAGTCGCCATCAGCGCTCCACCTACGGAACAACAAAAGTGAAAGAACGTTACTCAGCCGGTGCGGGTGTCCTGTTTTTGTGTGCGTGTGTGTGTGTGTGTTCCTCCCGTGCTCTTCCAGAATGTCGTAATAACCAAACGGAGCGGATGAGCCACCGGGCTATTCATCACCCAATCAGCATCGACTAGTTGACGTGCGCGAAGAAGAAGAGCCAAGATGTTTGCGCCCTCTCCACTTCCACGCAGAGGTAAATCCTCTTTAATGGGCTGGCCTCGCAGCTTGCATTTTTCTTATCAGACACTTTTATTAGCTAAGTGAGTTTTAGTTCATTGGATTTGTTCTTAGGAGAAGGATTGCGACCCGGGCTGACTTTTTGTTCCATTGTGTGTGAAGGAGCGCTTGAAATTGCTCGTAAATCAATGGTTGAGGGCTTGCGCATCCTTAAAAACCGGCCCCCGGGCCAACAAGGCCTGACCTACATTTACAAGCTAAATTATAAATATTTGTTCCATTCATTTATTCATTTATTTCCAATAGTTAATCGGTTTCTTTTGCCTTCCCGTATTTTTTTTTGTTTTGTTTTTTTTGGTCCAATCAGATTTAAGCCTCGACGTGTTGCCATGTCAACCTAATCTGCCCTGGGCCTTCACAATGCTCGCTGATGGTTAGGAACAGGACCGTTGAAGCAATCGCATTAAAACTGTGTCCTCACAGGGCCACAGTGCCGGTCCCCGATGACCTCGGCATTTTCCTGTCTTCTGATTGGTTGCTCGGAGCAACCCAAACTGGATCAGAAAACACTTTGTGTCGGCATCTGCGCACATGATTGCAGGGATGTCCGAACCTTTTTTTTTTTCCATTCACAGCCACATCAGAGTAACTAACATGCAAGGAAGCAGAGGGCTGTAGTTTTGGAAGCATCCACCAAACGCAGGCCCGCCACCGCCTGCAATGATTCGGTTGTTCCCGTTGGATGCTCCTTCGCTGCCTTCTAACCCGCCTCTCTTGTTTTTTGATGAATAATTTAAGTCATGAGAGTATCACCCAGCACCCCCCCCCAATCCCGACATCCACAACTCAGCCCCCCACCACCCCACCTCTGCCTGCCTGCGTTCATCGCTCTCGCTCTCTCTAAACCGCAGCCAAAGGCAGAAAGAAGCCTGATTTTTATTTATTTTTTTTCTTCAGTGGAGCTTCTGCTCGTGGGTTAACGCTCAAAACCGTGACATCACTCAAAGATTTCTTGGATTCCTTGAGTTTTGACTCCCTAAAAAAAAAAAAAAGATGTGGATGTTGGTAAGGGCAAGGGGTTAGCAGACCCTGAAGTTCCCTTGTGGGAATGATGAGCCCATCACGGCCCACGGAGAGCTCGTTGTTGTGTAACAGGAAGCAGGAGAAGAAAATGTCCAGTGGAAAAGACGCCAAGCTCAGCGATTTTTTTTTTTCCTCGTGCTCAGCTAGAAACACAAGCTCACCTCCTACTCTTCATCGTCCTCCTCCTCTTATTCCTCCACTTCCTTGTCATGATCTGATTGCTAATCTTTACGTTTGCGTCCTCATCAGGCCCGCTCCTCGTGTCAACCAATCAGCTTTCTGCAGCCATTCATATTTCGTCAATCTTTTGTTTTTTTAGTTTTCCGATACTGCTCATTCTGTTTTGTCAAATGTCGTGGTGAGTTTTTCATTTTTTTTTTTTTTTTGGTGGCTTTGGGGTCCTTTGGTAGCATTAGATATTTTTTGTCCAATCAGATTTCTTCTTTCATAATCAGAACTGCTGGTCCGCATAATTAAAATTTTTGAGCAAAAGGATTTTTCTTGAACGGATCACATTTGAATTTAAACCTGACAGGGTGAGCACACTTGGTGACGTCAGCATTTTTTGGTCCTCTGATTGGTTGGTCAGAGCAAAATTAGTTCCAGTCAATTTTGGCCTGGCACTTGTATTGATTGGATCTTAGGGAAATTATTATAAATTGAATAAATACAGGATGTCATGGCCAGTAAAATACAATGTCCTGCCTAACAACAACAATTTCAAAGACTAATTTAAGCCACCTTAAATATTGAAAAATGTGGGTGCCGCCTGTCACCCACTTCCTTTTATTTTCTTTCCATATTTGTGTTTCGCCTTTTTGGAACTATCGTTTGAACTTAATTTTCTCTTCCATAAAATGCATCGTCCCCAGGGTGTCTCCGTTACGCGAATTTTCATTACAACACAAAAATGAAACGAAAAAAAAACCCAACTTGATTGCGATGGGCCAATGAACATTTTGAGTTCTCAGATTTACAAAAGGCAGAAATTGAAGTTAATTTTGCGCGCGTGACAAGGCCCAGGCGGCAACTTGCGGTTATTTGAATGCCTTTGGCCTCCGTGACCTCATCTCTGGTTTAAGACCACACTTCCTTGGCGGTAATTAGCCGCACGTGGCGACAATTAAGTGGACTAAGCAGACGTCCAATCAATCTATTTTCGGAACAGAGTGTGTGGCCTGTAATCCTGTTAAAGCGGACGAGGGGGCAGGCTGATGATGTCACGGCTGTCAGCTGATCCACGTCAGGATCAAGAGTCGGGGGGGCGGACTTTGGCCTCGAGGAGACATCGTCCGCCACCTTGTTGCCGTTTTCTTTCTCTGGTGGTTGTCCTGCCTCAGTCACACTCGCTGTCGATCGATCCCGAAAAGATTTATTGACAGTGTTTATTGATGAAACACTCCCACATTGCAAGTCGTTTGTCTTTAACTTTACGAGCTTTAATTGTTGGGGACCGTTCATAAGTTCTTCCACACCAGATTTTTTTCATATGATATTACTCTGCCGATTTTTGCCATTGAGCTACTTCTATATTTCTCAATCAACTCAAACTGTTCTAACTTCCAACACATTTTATAAATCAGGATGTGTTGTATTGTATTGTACATTCCAGAAATTCACTCCGACTAATTTCACATACCAAAAATTCCCACATTTTCCATCTATTCCACATCTTTCACCACATTTCACCCCCCCCAAAATAACCAATCTGACACATTCAATCAAAAATGAATAAAATTGCTCATCCTTCTCATTCCTGCTTCAAAGCCTTCAGTAAATTCAGTCCATCTTGCGAATTTTAGGAATGTGAAAAATCGCTCGTAAAATTCAACAATGAAAAGTTTATTATTATTATTATTATTATTTTTAATCATCATTAACAACAACCTTCCACACTTTTTGACCGATTCAACAACGTGAAATGTTTCTACTTTTTTTGGGACATCTTGGGAAGCTTTCATTCCTAAAATGTTCACATTTCCACAATAACAAATATTTACCATAACTTTTTTAATTTTTTTTTTTTTTTTTTACCACAAATAATTTCCCTTTTGGCATATAATCCCCCAAAAAGTAACAATTCACAATTATGCTTCGTGTACCTATTCGTGTGTGTGCACGTATCTGTATAGCGTATCCTCATCCATGTGTACAGTGTGTGTCTTGAATACATACGCGTGTATCTTTGTGTCGTGTATCTTCTGCTTGTGTGTGTCTGATGCATATTTGTGTTCGTGTACATGTCAAATTTTGTTGTACGCGTGTGTCGTGTGCACTTGTTGCGCTGCATCAATGTGTGTGTTCTCCACAAATGCACGTGAATGCGTGTTGCGTTTACGTACAAGTATGCTGCGCACGTGTATAAATCCAGCTCGGCATTTACTGCCCCCCCCCCCCCCATTGACTGCCTATCAATTAAACAATCGATCACTCAATAATGAGCTGAAGTGATTGACGAGTGACGGATGTCCAGACAGTTTTCTTTTGCCCACCTGTGCTGTGTTTTCCTTCGGGCCAGGCGCGTGCTCGTGCGCGGGTCCGTCCCCCTCGGTGAACAAGGTGTACCTGCTCCCCCACCGTGTTGCCGCGTGCACGCTCCCGCCGCGTCCACGCCGCGGCTTGCTGCTCGTCTCTGTTTTCTGCTTCACTTCCAGTATCGACCTCCTTCCTCTTCCTTCCTTCCTTCTTTCCTTCCTCACTCCTTCCTTCTTAAACCTCGTCCCACTCCCCAGCCTCCGTCTCCACCCTGCTCCTCCTCTTCCTCGTCCTCTTCCTCCGGTTCTTGTTCTTTTTGTTTGTTGGCGATCGGTCATCGCTGCGGCGCTTCCTTCCTTCGTGCGCGGGCTCCATGGAGGCAGGAAGCCGGGGAGACCCGAACCATGCACGCCGGTGGTGAGCTTGCTTTTTTTTTTTATTTCTCCTTCCTCCCCTGCCACCACCCCCCAAAAAAAAATGACAACAACAAAAATGTTTGTAATCATTTGGCGCGCGCGCGCGTGCGTGAGTGCGTGCGTGAGCGACCACGCATGCGTGCACGCGCGCTTCCAGGTCTTTTGTGTGCCGTGCGTTTTGAGGTGTTGCTTTCGTCTCATTAATTCGACTACTAATATGACAGCGGACCCTTGCATATTCGCGGTTTGGCAATCGTCGATTCCCATATTTTCTTATTTTTTTTCCCAACAACTGTTTTTTTGTGGAAAACGCTTATTTGAAGCATGTCCCCACGAGCTCAAGAAGGTTTTTTTTTGGGGGGCGACAACTGTTTTTTTGTGGAAAACGCTTATTTGAAGCTCAAGAAGGTTTTTTTTTGGGGGGCGGGGGGATTCCAGGAAAAAAAATAAATTATGTTTTATAATTGACATTGCCTGTTGTAATTTTCAATGTGATTCTAATTGTCATTATTAACATGCAGATTTTTATTATTCGTAGACTGGTCACCTACAAATAGCGGGGCTCCACTGTCCATTTTATTTTACCAAACGCCTTTCACGCCCCTCCAGAACAAATTATAACAATAGAAAAATAATAAGCACAGAGTTCTCCTAAGGCGAAATCAAAGAATCGAAGGATTTGATTGACAGCAACGCTCCTCCTCTGTGACTTGATGCCACTTTTGTCTGGTGTTATGTCTCGTGCATCCCTTCGCAACAGCCTCGCCTCCCGCCGACGCCGCCTCCTCCCCCGGCATCCCTAAATGACCCCAGGCTGAGGGCACGGGGCGGGGTGGGGGCACCCGGACCGGATCGGACCATGGCATGCGGCCCGACCCGGGCAAGCAGCACTGACCATGGGACTGCGGTCCAGGAGCGCAGCGAGTGGCTCAGAGGACCACAAGAAGGATCCCCCGGACCAGCAGGGTGGAGTCGGGGTGGACAAGGATGGCGCTCTGCTGGCGGTGGCGACGGCGGTGGTGGCGGACTACAAGCGGGGGTCGCAAGGCACGGCCATCGGGCTCCTGGCCAAGACCCCCCTGAACTACAGCCGGCCCGCCAAGAGGAATAACGCCCGCAAGAGGAGGATTCAAAACCTGATCTACGATGCGCTGGAGAGACCCCGAGGATGGGCGCTCCTTTACCACGCCTTCGTGTGAGTAATGCGATCATAACCTCACCCGTCCAAAAATAATTCTCACACTTTTTTTTGGGGGTGGGGGGGGGGGCTCTAGTTCGCTAAGTCTTTGGGTCACGTCCGAACACACAACTTGCCCGTCACGCTTTCATGTCACTCTTTATTTCTTGATCTCCTGTCATGTGACGATGATTGACGGCTACTTTGGATTGTTTGCGTCCTTCTCCTTTGAGCTTTGTTTAGGATTTGCTGTGTTTGAAACTCAGTGCAACAGGCAGAGTTTTCTCTAGGAGGACCCCCAATGTTTGCAGGGGGGGAGGGGGGGCGCTCAGGGGCCAGGCCCAAGCGCAAATTGTGAAAATGTGCTCGTCCTTGCTACTCGATATCATTGCAATGGAAAAAAAAAAAAAAAAAAAAAAAAAATCAGTCAAAGAAAAATGCAAATAAGGTTGCGCATCGGGTAGAAAAAAAATGAGCGACAGATCCCATGCCCCCAAAATTTATAGTCGCGACCCTGCCAACTTCCCGCTATGATGAGAAATAGTGCCATTTGTCTTCAAAAGTGTTATAGAATCTCTGCGTAACAGTGTCTCCTTATTAATCGCAAAAGAAAAAAATTTAGATCAACTTACAGCAAATAATAAATGAGTTAACATTGCTTTTTAGACTAACATAAAATTTCAAGTGCCTCAATTTGCCAGAACATATTTATTTCATGTGAGCAAATTGAGAAAAAATTACAGAGATTTGATGAGATGTCAAACTTGAAATAAATAAACAATAACTCCGTTGGAAATTTGGTGAATGTTGCTTAACTTGACCGGAAGTTGAGGTGTTTCGTTTTTTTTTTAAACTTTATTCAAGCAGCAAAGTATTGCGTGCTGGTCCTCTGTGACATCGGCAATCTCAGGCTCTGTAGTGTTGCGCCCCACCTTGGCCTTATCTGTTGTATTGAACATCACTCATCAGACAACACCATTTTACTCTGCATTAACTCGATACAATTTATCCAGATATGCATATATTTCAAATTAGTTTTATTTTACTCTTATTTTTTTGGCTAGGTGGTTTATTTCATTTTTTTTTTTTTTGTCTTGACGGAACGTAAGGTGGTGACTGAAATGTGATTGACCGGAACGAAAGACCATTTTTCATACTGCAGGTGGCGTTTTGCTCTTTATTCTACCGTGCTAGTGTTCTGCGTGAAAGACATCGTTCTGGGATGCAGGAATGAAGCAACACAGCTGTTAGCCAGCTTTAGGACCATCTAATCCACTGGTGTCAAACTCAAGGCCCGGGGGCCAGATTCGGTCCGTCATGTGATTTTATGTGGTCCACTAAAGCGAATCGTGGGTGTCAACTTCCATGACGCTTGCTAAAATCTGTACCGAAATGCCAAATTGTCATGTGTCATACATAATGTTGAGATTTTGTAATAATTTTGCCACGCTGTTGACACTCACTTGAAGAATAATTGAACGAACAAATAGTTGACTCATTTCAAATCTAGTAAGCCATCAGTTTTTTTTTTTTTGTGTGTACAAGTAATAATTCGATGTGATGATGAAACGTTAATTCGTTTTTTGTCCTCACGGCCGTCCGAGGGAAGACGTAACTCCAAAGTGGCCCGCGACAAAAATGAGTTTGACACCCCTGATCTAAGCCATCGAAAAGATTGAATGCTGTCTCTGTGTGAATGGAGATTTCGTGTCAAGTTGAACAACCCGCTGCTCATTCGTCCCACCGTGCTGCGTTGAAAGTAATTGTCGCCGTCAAACGGGCAAATGCCAAAGGCGAGCGAGGAATGCCGCCACGGTGACACTCAATGAGTCAGCCGTCAGCACGCGTCTGGCTTCCGAGCCTTCCAATATGGCCGCCCCATATGTTTAGCTGTCGCTATCTTTTGTCAGCCAATGTCTGACATCGTCATCATCATCAGAGCGGCGCCGCAACAGCTGACAGTCACCGAGCATCAACATTACCGATTGCATCTTTACGGTTCGTACGGTGCGTCGGGAAAATTTGCTGCAAAATGCGCGTGAAAGGCACATGCGTTGCCAATCGGCGAACCTTTCAACGACTAACACGGCAGACGCTCTCCGGTAGTTGCCACGACGCCGCTTGTCCATTTTGTTCTGAGCCTCGATTATGATTGGTTGCTGCATCTCATTACAAGCTTGTTACACGGTGCAAAAATGACATCAGATGATGACATCACACCATCAGGATGTTACGTGGCCCGACCGGCCAAAGTGAAATTCTAATGAGCGGTTGCTTGATTTTAGTTGATTTTAAAAGTTATTTGAATTTGTTGAAAGAGTTACATGACTTGTCAATGCGGCTGATTGACAAGTCGGATAGGCGGGTTCATTGGTATGAGAGAATGGCCCGCCTGCTGGGTGGCGTTCAATCGCTGCGGGGAGGGCGCGGTGTTCCTTGTCAAGCGTCTGAGTGGAAAGAAATCAGCTGACGCCAGGCCTTGATCTTTCTTGCCCTCCAGAAGTTTTTCATCCTGCTTCAAACACATTTTTTGTGCACTCAAAAGAGCTTTGTGGCCAAAACGGACGCCTTTTGGGATCGCCGGGGCCACTTATTTGAACCTGGGCTGACCAACATGACCACTTTTTTGAGCATGTACTTAAGACTCCCTGATCAATGCGAGCGTATCAGGAAGTGCCGCGAGTGTTTAAGAGCGTTTTTCGCGGTCACTTTGCGGTCGCGGTCACTTTGCATAACGTGGCAGTCGTTAGCGTCGGCTAATCAAACGTACAGAAATGAAATGACCAGTTGCCATCTGGCTGTCACGTTTGACACTTCCGGATCGATGGAAGCGATTAGCTGGTTTTTACGCATTCGATTTAGAATTTTTTTTTTTTTCTTTAATGTTCCCATCGGGACTTTGAAGTGGTGGCGTGCAGGATGCCAGCGGCGGTCGAAAGGCACTTACGTGCGAACAGGAAGTGTCTCTGGGAGGTCAGCTGCCACATTAGCGACTTGTGTGCTAATGTGGCAGGAATTAGAAACCTGGAGAGAAGATTAGCACAATAACAACAATAAATTCACTTTTGTAATACCAGCGCGCAAGAACACTTGCTATTTAA